TTTTTGGCTGTAATCTCCTGGACTGCAAAATAAAGATTCTTGCTGTTCAACCAGCCTGTTTCAGAGTTTTCTCTCTTCACTGAGCAGCAGCAGTTCCGCAGAACCAGCAGACGTGGTTATTTCACCTTAAAGGCCCACGGACCAGCAGTTGATAATCACAGTTAAAGCTTGTTTTGTGGCTCCGGACACATTTTATTAGTGAGACAAGCAGCGGAAATGTCTATTTTGACCGTAAAGGTTGCAGACCCCTGGTTTAGTTAGTTTGTTGTTGCTGTGTGGAGACCCTGTTGTCTGCATGCTTGTGTCGGTGTCTGCAGGATGAAGGCAGGACGATGAAGAGGAGAGAGAAGAACAGAGTCGCAGCTCAGAAGAGCCGGAAGAGACAGACTCAGAGGGCCGACCAGCTGCACCAGGTCTTTGTCTTTGTTCCTCTCAGATTCTGTATCGTTTTGAAGAAATTTATAGTTATTAGAGTTTAGTACTGATGTTAAAAGCACAACGCTATATTTTTAGGTTTTCCTTTTTTTAATGTTATAATCTATTATGTGTTGATTGATATAGATTAGTTACATGTCCGAAATATCTATAACAACACATATTTATTCGTTATGAGAACAGAAGGTGAGAATTTTGTCCGAATGCCTGTGATTCAGCCGTAGGTCAGTAGGGGGCGAACGCGGGCATTGAAGACTCTTTATAAATGGATCAACTTCCTGGTTTGCGGGCAGTGTGTGGTTTCCTGTCAGCGGTGACAATAAACCCTCACTCCAGAATTCTGGTTTTGTTTGGTTTTATTCGGTCTAACAATCATATTATTTAACATTGATAGTTTTCTATTGACTTCAGTCTTTGAACACGAATATTTCTTACAGTTTAATAATAAAGAAACAAACATTTCAAGAAGTCTGTCTCCATGCAGGGTTCCCGCTGATCCTTAAAAAGTCTTAAAAGGCCTCGAATCAATCCAAAAATAAGGCCTTAATTAGCCTTAAAAGATCTTAAATCAATCTTCAGAAGTCTTAAAATGCTAACACATTGTAAGTAGGATGACTAATTCGTATCAAATTTTWAAATAATTGGTAACATTTATTTTTGAAATATTCCCGTTCAGACATTCCCCTTTGACATCACTTCCTGTTATTTCACCTGCAAATATCTCAACAACTGTTCATCTGAGCAATGTGAAATTTGTTTTCTAACATGCTAATAATGTTGTCTTTCCAAAAATGCATTCATATTTCTTACAAAAAAACAATTAACATCACAGACACTTTAAGGTTTCATCTACAGCAAGCTGGGGTTGAGAACCCACTGTGGGTCATAAAACTCCAAATTTTGGGTCGTTAGAGGATTTCCAGAAATTAAATAAAGTTTAAAACTGACTGCCAAGAATGTTTTTGTAGCTATATTTGACAAAATAGCAGTTAGATATGGATAAAAACCATTGGTCTATTAGCAATATTTGAATAATTCAACCAAAAATACTTTGATTCATGAGCTTCTGCCACAGTTTTACTTTGTCATTTGTGTTTATTGTGAAATTAGTCTTAAATTTGATTTCACTTGGCATTAAAAAGTCTTAAATTTAACTTGCCTTAAACTGTAGGAACCCTGGTAAAAATAAACAGCAAAACAGATG